GTGCAGTCCGGAGCAGTGAGACAAACTTTCAAGAGCGTTGCTGGAGATGTTGTTATTCCAGAGATCCCTCTTGGCCTTTCGTTGATTTGTTGAGGCTGTTCCATCGCTGATCAACCACCAATTCGTGTGAATGGATACGGTTGCTGGTATTCACTGCAAACTCACCATTGGTGAAGCTCTGCCATAGTTCTGGAGTAGAGGTTTTATGCATCCATGCGTGCGATGAACTCTGGAATGTTTGCAGCATAATCTAGCCTGGCATATGCAAAGAAGTACTTTACTAAGGATGCTCAAGTGATATCCAAGTAGAGGTGCCAGTTACCTTCCCGTATAGCCCTCTGGAACTCGTAACAGTGTCATCACCTGCCGCACATGTACATCCTAGCCCATTGAACATTGGGTCTGTCTTACGACCTAGCGTCAAACTCTCGTAGCTGTTTCTCAAGGATTGGAAGGATTCTATATCCATTTTGAATGCCTAGTGCCGCTTTGCAACGCCTGTCTTATCCGCGCATGCTTCAGTCAGCTGCTTTACGCTGGCTACCAAGGCGTCACGTACAACAGGTTGATCCTCAAGCGAATTTCTCCATCCAGAGATGCGCAAGAGTGCCTGAAGAGTCTTAACTGGTGCGCTTTGATCGCTCTGTTGTAATGATTGCCATTTAAAATCTGCTTGATACAGCTACGCTACTGTACAGATCTGCTTCTTTGCCATGCGTCGTCAAGACCTTAAATTATTTAAAACATTTATAAAATTATGACTGATTAGATATTATGTCTTGACTAGAAATACAAAGTTAAAAACTAAATAGAGTCCGATTGCGTTTAAAATTTAAAATGCGTGGGTAAGATTATAATATTTATTTTGTATAATAACGTCGAAAACCTGTTTCTATCCATGCAAACAGAGTTCAGATGAAAGTTGTCTCAACTATAATGCATTTGTACTCAAAACTCTATGAACACATTTTGATTATACGTTTAAAATTAATGTTGAATACCCAAAAATATACAAATCGCTTTAAAAAACGCGCCATTTATGAATTCAAAATGGCGGCCTAAATGTTAATGGAAAAACTGGCCCACCATTTTTTCTTAATCAGTGATGTTTCTAGGGGTGTATTAAACATGGGTGCCAAGAATCTACCAAAATTTTGCTTTTATACATAAGCACAGACTATTTCCAGCCAAGGTGCTACAGGTATTCTTATTTATTCATTTAAAGCACAAGCCGATTGTAATATCTTATAAACGCATATAGTTTCAGCTTATAATATGATAAAATTTGCCCTAAATGGAATATGTTCGTTTTCGCGTTAAATTAGCCATTTAGCGTATAAATTATAATTGCACTTTTGTGATTAGCTCTCCGCGTTCACTTTACCTGCAAAAAATAAAGAATGCAAACATACGCAACTTGTTTTTCAGCGGTTGGCCAGCACGGTCGCGGGTGTCATGGCGTCCGTTCAAATTTCGTAGCGTTGATGTGCTAAAATAATTTAATTAAGTAGCTGCCGTGACAAATACATGTGGCGTATAGAGCGATTTGTTATACAGTAAGTACAGTTGTATGCCAGTAAATCCTTTAGAGCGCTACTATCCCTTTAATGGACAAAGCGTACAACATAATGTACAACATAATGCTACGCACTTTAACTTATTACAATTGGAATCTATCATAAAAAACATAAATCGTTGTACAATATAGTTGGTGATGGTAATAAGCTGCACAAAACATAAGTACCACAGACTTCAAGTAATACAATTAATTATATCAATACACATAGCCCGCGCGATGGCGCCTTCATAGAAATCACGTTCGCGCGCAAATCAATTTCCACGTTGCGCGCAAAACATTCAATTTTTTGATACGCATGTTGCGTTTCTTCAACCATTCAACGGCTTGCTGCCACTTACAAGAGAAGAGATTCTTATTTCATCACCTGTGTCTGCATGTGCATCTTGCACAAATGTTATTCGGCTGCATTATTTGGCATGTTTTGGGTGTCTGATCTACGACTACGCTATGCCTACGGTTATCTAAAATCTTACGTTTTACACCGATTGGCAACGTGTGTCGTTTGTGCACTCTATTTTGAAAAAATAAAACCGAGGATTTAAAAGGTCTCTGTGTATGTCTGTACAACCCCTCGTATGTTCATATTCCCAAAGCCCGTTTACATTTCATCGCTAGAATAAGCTCTTTTTAAGCCCAGCGTTTGCGCCAGTGTGTCATACACTGTTAGATCGATGCGTACACTTGCCGTTACGCATGTAGATTGCGTTCTGAAGAAGATACTATATTTGCGTCAGTGTTACGTACGTTGTCCTGGAGACGTACGTCACGCGACAATGTAACCGGGCACTGACGGAGGGGGGGGGCCTAAGCGCAAGGGCTGATGTGAGGTTGCGGGGAAGAGTGTGCGGCGCCGACGGGCCGAGGTTGTGTGACTAGGAAAGTCGTGTAGAGGCGTGAGCGGTGTTTGTGTGAGCGGGGCAAGGGGCTGTGTGATTGCGCTGTGGTTCGGGAGGGTCACGTCTTCTAGCTGCGGACTGGGCGGCGGGGGGCCGGTGCAGTACGCACGTGTTTGTCCACGATGAGATGTAGCTATATATATATGTCATAGATATAATATGTAATATATATATATTATATATATATATATATCATATTATATAATTTCTACGTGCGACCGGAGTGTGTGCGGTGTATAGTTGTATTGCCCATACAATATAATAATGTATATACATTATGTACTTACGTGCGCCCGAGTGTGTGCAGTGTAATATATCATAGGATATATGTATGTGTATCTATGTACTACGTCGCCGAGTGTGCGCGTGCGGTCTGTGGTGTGTGTTTACGTGTATATATGTGTACATGTGCGCTGCGTGCGCGTTGTTTGTGGGCGTGCGCATGTATTGTAAGTATATATGTATTCACTAGTAATGAGATAACAAAATGAGATATAATCGCACCTTTATATGTCGTTAGTCAAATTAAACTCAGATAAGTAATTGAAGTTTAGTTATGTAACCATACTACTGGTTGCTTATAGCGACAGAAAACTGCGGTCCCCTGAACCTAAATCTACTTTCCATGTAATTAC